GTGGTGGCTCATACCTGTAATCCTAGCGCTTTGGGAGACCAAGGCGGAAGGATTGCTTGAGCTCAGGAGTTATTAACCAGCCTGGGCAACATAGTGAGACCTCAACTCTATATAAAATTAGAAAGTGGTCCAGGTGCAGTGGCTCACGCCTGTAATCCCAGCACTTTGGGAGGCCGAGGCGGGAGAATCACCTGAGGTCAGGAATTCGAGACCAGCCTGACTAACATGGTGAAACCCTGTCTCTACTAAAAACACAAAAATTAGATGGCTATGGTGGCGGACGCCTGTAATCACAGCTACTCGAGAGGCTGAGGCAGAAGAATCACTGGAACCTGGGAGGCAGAGGTTGCAGTGAGCCAAGATTGTGCCATTGCACTCCAGCCTGGGTGACAGAGTGAGACTCCATCTCAAAAATTAAATTAAATTAAATTTAATTTAATTTAAAGAAAGGCAAATGTGGTAAATGACAAGCAGCATGCATTGAGGGAAGATGCAGGCAGCCTGGACCAAGAGGATGGCTGTTGGTTAAGATAACCAGTGTGGTATTACTACCTGGCTTTAGTATCCCTAGAGCATGATATCCAAGATGGGCTGCCCAGGAAACAAGGAAGGCTGGTGGGACCAGGTCACAGGAGCCATGTAGACTCTGGCAGAGACTTGGACTCCATCCCTGTGGCAATGAGGAGCCACTTAGGGGTTTTCAGAAGGAAAGTGATATGATTGAATTTGGGTTTTAGAAATACACCTTGAGAGCAATCATTCTGGAAGCTGATTCTAAATGGGTCAGCAATGGAAAAGGAAAATCAATTTAGGAGGCCATTGTAGCAATCCATGTAGGGGAGGATACGGTGGTCTGAACCAAGACAAGGGGTGGAGGGTTGGAGGGTTGGAGGAAGCAAATTAAGGCAAATATTTAGAGAGTAAATGTATGGCAAGACTTGATTCATTGAACACACAGGATGAGGAGGCTTTACCTGGAGGAATGGGCAGATGATCAGGCAACTCACTAAATAAGGTAGAGGTTTGGTGGTTGAGATGTTGGTTCAGTGTTGAACACGTTGAGCTTGAGGTGCTTTCAGACAATGAAGATGTCTAGGAGCCTGCTGAAGATACAAATTGGACGCCCTGGGGAAAGGTCAGTCCTAGAACCCTAGACTGAGGGGCCATCAGTCTTTGCTGGGCAATGGGGCAGTGGCCCAAAGAGCAGCTAGTGAGAAAAATGGTGGACCAGGGACAAAACCCGGATTTTAGCATTTAAAGGGCAGGCTAATGCTCTAGATAAGGTTGAATATCTTTTCATCTATTCCTGAGTCATTTTTGTTTCTCTTTCTGTGAAATATCTATTTTGTGTTTCAATCATTTTTCTATTTCTATTTATTTAAAGCTAGAGCCATTGTCTAGTTTAATGATAAAACTATAGAAAAGTATGATGAAACTCCCACCAGAGTAAGGAGCACTTACATGAAGTATTAACTAAAGCAGTTAAATAGGAAAAAAGAAATGAAGCACCAAATTAGAAAACAGGAAGTAAGTTCATATCAGTAATATTAAATGATGTGATTTCATAACTTGAAATCCCAAGAGAGTCAATGGGAAAAAATATAAATAGTAAGAATTCTATACAGTTTCTGATACAAAATTAATATGGCAAATTGATAGCACTCCATATAAAACAATAGGAAGTTTAAAAATACAATGGAAGGTGAAAACCATTGTAATAACAATGACCGTGCAAGGTTCACGTGAAGAATTTTAAAACATTATTGAGGAACATATAGAAGAACTCATGAAATGGAAATAAGAAACTCCATTCTTGAATTGGAAAATGTTGATCTGAAGTATTATAAAGATGTTAATTCTTCTAAATTATGCTTTACACTTAAATACCTAGAGAACTTTTTTCTTGCGACCAGACAAGCTTGTTCTTAAGTTTATACAGAAAAAATAAATATGTACAAATATCCAGGAAGTTTTCTTTAAAAAAAAAAAACAAAAAAAACCATGAGACGAGATCAGTTTCACTACATATGAAAACATAATTGAAATAGAGAAGTACATGGGAATATTCAGTCAGATTAACAGAACAGAATGAAGAGCTCAGAAATAGACCCAAATTAATATGGGAATTTAGTGTGTCATAAAATGGCATCTCATATCAGATGGGAAAAGACAGGTAGTGCAATATGTAAGGCTGGGACAGCTGAAGACACATTTAGGAGAAAAGATGATTCCCACTTTACTCTTTACATCAAAATAATGGAGAAAATATTCAAGTTAAAGCTGAAGTCATAAAAGTACTGGAAGAAAACACGGAGCACAGACACACACAATCACCCCTGCGCACAGGCACACACACACACGCAAAGTCTTGGAGTAAAGAAAGACTCACGAAGCCATAACACACCCAAAAATTAAATCAGCTTGGCGTGGTGGCTCATGCCTGTAATCCTAGCACTCTAGGAGGCTAAGGTGGGTAGACTGCTTGAGGCTGGTGGACTGCTGGAGGCCAGGAGTTCAAGACCAGCCTGGGCAACATGGTGAAACCTCGTCTCTACTAAAAATACCTAAAAAATTAGCTGGATATGGTGGCAGGCGCCTGTAATCCTAGCTACTCAGGAGGCTGAAGCAGGGGAATCGCTTGAACCCAGGAGGCTGAGGTTGCAGTGAGCTGAGATTGAGCCACTGCATTCCAGCCTGGGTGACAGAGCGAGACCCTGTCTCAAAAATAAATAAATAAATAAATAAATCAACTGTATAAAAATGACTTACTTCTGCACTAGAAAAAAGCCACATATATAATATCTTACGTTATGATAAATTGGGGAAGATATTTGCAAGCATACATGGCAGACAAATGACTACTTTTTCTATATAAATAATTTTGTATAGATATGGGATGCCTTTGAAAGGACACATACAGGTACCCCCCCTTTAGGTATTCCTCCCTCCCTCCCTCCCTCCCTCCCTCCCTTCCTTCCTTCCTTCTTTCCTGCCTTCCTGTCTTCCTTTCTCCCTTCCTCCCTTCCTTCCCTCAAATTAGGAGAAAACAGCCTTCGTGTTATCCCAGCACCATTTCTTGAATAGCACCTTCTTTCCCTCACCAACTTGAAATGCCAATTGGATTTTATATTCTGCTCCTTTGATCTGTCTGTTTCCTCTGACACCAGAATTTTACTGCTGCAATTACTACAGGTTTAAAAATATACCTTTTTCATACTTGGTATGACAAGTGTGCCCTGTTCTAATTCAGTCTTTTTCCCCAACATTTTCTTATGAATTTCCTCATACTGATTCATCCAGATTAATGTGAGATTCATTTTATCAAATTCTACTGAAAACTCAATTGAGATTTTGATTGCAATTATGGGAAATGCATATGTGAATTTGGACAAGATTGACATTTTTACAATATCAAGTCTCCTCATCTTGAAACAAAGTATGGCCTCCTCTTAATTCAAATTGTTCAGTAAAGCATAAGGGCTTTTCTTTATGGAGTCTTGCACTCTTCTTGTTTAAATTCTTCCCTAATATTTTATATTTTAGTTGCTATTGTGAATGAAATTCTCTTTCCTATTCTATTTTCAGGTTGGTGGTTGCCACTGTATTTAAAAGCTAATAAAATTATCTACATTTCTTTTATAACTGCCTTATTAGACTCTCTTATTAATTATAATTTTCACTTGATCTTCAGATTTTCTATGAAGTCAATCAGGTTTTTGACTCCCTCTTTACAATAATTAAATCACATTTTTTTTAAAAAAAAGAAAAAGTCTCTTTTTTTTGTTCTTTCTTAAGACGAAGTCTCAATCTGTCTCCCAGGCTGGAGTGCAGTGGCCCCATCTTGGCTCACTGCAACCTTCGTCTCCTAGGTTCAAGCGATTCTCCTGCCTCAGCCTCCCGAGTAGCTGGAACTACAAGTGTGTGCCGCCACACTTGGCTAATTTTTGTATTTTAGTAGAGACGGGGTTTCACCATGTTGGCCAGGCTGGTCTTGAATTCCTGAACTCAAGTGATCCTCATGCCTTGGCTTCCCAGAGTGCTGAGATACAGGTGAGCCACCGTGCCCGGCCTTATTTTTCTTTTGACTAGAACTCACTTCCAAACAATATTTCATGATAGCGTTCATCAAGGAAATTCTTATGCATTCACAGGTCAGAGTTTTATCTTTAAGTATAACATTAGCTCTTGGTTTAGATTTGTTCTTTATCCTGCTTTGGGATTATCTCTTTATTGCTAGTTTAGTAAGAATATATATATATATTTTAAGTATATTGGATTTTATCAAATGTCCTTTGGGCTTCTATCGAATGATCATATGATTTTTCTCCTTTCATCTATTCATGAGATAAATTGCATTAAGAGATTTCCCAAGGCTTGGCGCAGTGGCTTACACCTGTAATCTTAACACTTTGGGAGGCCTAGGCAGGCTGATCACCTGAGGTCGGGAGTTCGAGACCAGCCTGACCAACATGGAGAAACCCCATCTCTACTAAAAATACAAAATTAGCCAGGCGTCGTGGCACATGCCTGTAATCCCAGCTACTCAGGAGGCTGAGGTAGGAGAATTGCTTGAACCCAGGAGGGAGAGATTGCAGTAAGCCGAGATCGCACATTGTACTCCAGCCTAGGCAACAAGAGTGAAACTCTGTCTCAAAAAAAAAAGAGAGAGAGAGAGAGAGACAGAGAGATTTCCCGATGTTGACAATTTTCAAATTCCTGGAAAAAACTTTACTTTGTCGTTATGTTATTATTTGTATTATTCTTCTGCTGAATTGTATTTGTAATATTTTATTTTTGTTCTCATTAATGTTGGTATCTGAGAGTATAGATTGCTCTTCCCAAAAGCTTAGCTGAGATGGGGAGAAAAGAGAGGGCCAGAGCTCTAGAGAGACCCAGGGTGGAGTAAGTGGACATTGCGAGCATATTAACAGGCTTTGGGGATGTAGCCAGGAGGAGGAAGAACTTGGGGATATGAGAGAAGGAGGAGAGCAATGAGGCACCAGGGGAGAGAGATGGCAGCGGGGCCAGTACACCAGTGTCCTGGGGCCGCCAGCAGGAAGAGGACAGAACCATGGCCTGGACTGTTCTGGAATGAAGGAGGACAAGGCGGGTGGCACAGACTAAATCTGCAGAGGGCACAAGGACGTCAGAGCAGGGCACAGCTGGAAGCTTTGGTGGGCATCAGGGCTGTGGGAGCAAGATTGTCTGCAGGGTTGGTAGAGGAGGACTTGAGGCAGGTTATGAACATTGAAAACAGTTGCCAAGAGAAGTGGGGACAACCCAGAGGATTGCCAGGGGGTGCAGAGGCCCCACTGAGGTTAAAAACCATGGCTTTATGCGGCATCAGTTTGCAAGGTTATGCCATTATTCCTTCTAGAGGCGCTGTGGGAGTGGGGCTGATCCAGACTGGGTGTTGATGGATGAGTGTGGAAGGCAGACAACGAGGCCAGGGAGTTGTGCAGGTCCCACGTCAGCCAGGGAACGGCAAGGAGCCGAAGAGGACACACACAGCACACAGGCCTCTCTGCAAGATGCTCTCATAGTTTGTCTTTGCTTTATATTTCCACCTTGAGGCAAAATTTTCCATTTCTGCCCTGTCACAAAACAAACAGGATGCACCATGGCTTAAGCTAGATCACTTATGTAACGAATTCCATGCTCTGCCACGTTCTTGACAGTTACAAAACGTCTGTGCTGCTGGGACATCATGATGGGACAACAGAACGTGTGTGCTAATGTGGGGGGCATTCTGGGACACAGGGCGCCTGAGCCCCTGCTTCCACTTCGGGCAGTTAGGGCATCAACAGGAGCATGGCTCAGGTGATCAGGCAAGCAGGCTGGCCCAGCCAGGGAGTGTCCCCACTAGCCTGATAGGCTGGGAGCAAGGGGACTGGTGGGGACGGGGCTGCAGGGAGTCGGCTTGGGTGTGGGTACCTTAGGGAACTGCAGACATAGGGCCCAGGAGGCTGGCCCCAGGAACTGGCCTTCATATGGACACGGAGGTCACCCTCAATGATGCCAGGGCATGAAGTAGATGGGGTGTGACCTGAGTGACCTGCTCAAGGGCCCCCTGCTAGTAAATGGCAGGGTGGCACACACCCAGGTCTGGGGCTCCGTAGAGGACAGCAGGTGGCCTTCCTGGTGAGGGTGTGACCTGTGGGCACCTGCTGTCCTGTAGGACGTAGAACCTGAGCCCTTGCTCTTCCACTTCAGGCAGTTAGGGCATCGATGAGAGAGTGGCTCAGGTGGCCTGCAGTGCAGCTCAACCCAGACGCTGCCATCATTCCTCCTTGCCTGTGGCTGGCCTCTGGGTGACTGGGGAAGGTGTCCAACCCTGAATGTGCCCAGGCAGCAGGGGAACACAGTGCAGCCTTCCAGGACCAAGGGACCTGCCCCCATTTCACAGTAACCGAGCCCTCGCCTCCGCTTCTTGGCATGTTCTTCTGGGGCTGACCACCTCCAGATGCCAGAAGGGTACAGTGGCTGTGAGATTTGGCTTCCAAAACACCAGGTTCAAACCCTGACTGCACCATTGCTAGCTGTGTGACCTTGGGCAAGTGGCCATCTCCGAGTTTCAGTTTTCTCATCTGCAAAAAGGGGACAAGACTTAGATTTCCCTTGCCGGTCACTTTCCTGACTAAAGCAGAGTCTGTGTGTCACTGTTGGGTTCTCTGAGAGGGTGAGTGGCACATGGGGGTTTATCTGGACATGCCCTCAGAATCCACACCTGTGGAGGGGAAGCAGGATTGGGCAGGAGAAGAGGCTAGGCTGCAGCACAGGCCCTGTGAAGACCTCCCTGACCCCGAGGAAGCTCTGAAGCAGAGGCGGCCCTGCAGAGCTCTCCAGAGTCAGCTGCTGAAGTGGTTTGCCCTGTGAAGAAGGTTTGACTTTGGATAAGGTGACTTTCTTTGGTCAAGAACAGTTCCTGAAGAGATATGAGGCCTGTCAGGGTGGCAGCACTCCCAGCAGCTGGGGACTAAGTCCTTCCGTTGTAAAAGGGGATCTGACCTGTGCATCACAAAGCGCCCTAATGCATTCATCAAACTACACTATTATTAGCATGGTTGCACACAGACAAGCAGGAACTTGGCTGGGATGGGATGGCCAATGCATCGGTCATTGGAGCCTCTCCTGGGCTCAGCTCCTGCATGGACTGGCTGATTTGGAGGGGCCATGAACCCCCTAATACCATGTGAAAAATCCTGAATATCTTTTCTGAGGTGAGAGTCCAATTTTTATCAGCTTCCAAAAGGACTCTGTGACCTTAATGTTTAGGAATCATTACTTTAGGGTCACATTTCAAGTAGAGAAGGAGGTTTCCTTTACCTTCCGCTCTACATCCTGCCTCTCCCAGCTAGCCATGTCAGGGAAGCCCCCCTCCAGACCTCTAGAATCCTCTAGAATCCCTTTTCCCTCTGGCCGTTCCTCCAATCCTGTAACCACCACACCAATCCTAACCTAGGAGTTGTGTGTTGGCATCTGGATCTCAGTTCTGCCCTGCCATTCACAATCTACATGGCTTTGGCAAGTTTCTGAACTTCCATGAACCTTAGTCTCCTTATCTGTGAAATGCAAATGATTATACCGATGTGATAGCTACATCTTGAAGATGGATTCTGTGAGATGGTTGAGGGAAGTGCCCTGCACATCATGTAAAGTACAGCAGGTAATTCATAAAAAAAAAATCATTCTCTTTTGGGGGTTCAATCATCCTTTCCCCTTTCCTGTCTGCCTCTCTTAGCACACCTGAGCATAACTGGATAGTGCCTCAAAACCAGGATGGCTCAAGTCCAGCTGCTCCCAGCACAGGCCCTCACAGCTGGGTCTCTTCTATCTCCCCATTTGCAGTCCCCACATAGGAGCTGGAGCCCTCAGCAGGTGGCCTTGTTCCTAGGATCCTGAGAAAACACTTGATTCATAGGAACGGCAAGTTACATCTGATGAATCCTTAAGCATTCCCAAAGGGCATTCCCACCTGGCTCTCATCACATCCCTGTGTGGTGAGCAGGGCAGGGATTACTTCTCTGTTTCCCCGAGGGAGAATGGCATTCCTCCAGGCATATCCAGCTTCATAAACTCACATGGATTGAGTGGTGATATGGTTTGGCTTTGCGTCCCCACCCAAATCTCATCGTGAATTGTAATCCCCAGGTGTTGAGGGAGGAACCTGGTGGGAGGTGATTGGAACATGGGGGCAGTTTACCCCATGCTGTTCTAGTGATAGTGAGTGAGTTCTCACAAGATCTGGTGGTTTTATAAGGGGCACTGCCCTCTTCACTCCTCACTCTTCTCTCTCCTGCCGCCATGTGAAGAAGGTCCTTGCTTCCCCTTCCCCTCCTGCCATGATTGTAAGTTTCCTGAGGCCTCCCCAGCCACGTAGAGCTATGAGTCAATTAAATGTCTTTCCTTTCTAAATTACCCAGTCTCAGGTATTTCTTTAGAGCAGTGTGAGAACAGACTAATACAAGTGGTCAAACTAAATTCTCCTTTGGATGTCGTAGTGTAGTGGTTAACAATGAGACACGTGAGCCAGACTTACTGTCTGGGTTCAGATCCCAGCTCTGCTACTTACTGGTTGTAGAACCCTGGATGTTTTACTTTACCTATCTGTACCTCAGTTTCTTCATCCGTAAAAATGGGGAAAATAATGGCTTCTTTGTCATGGGCTGTCCCAGGAACAGAAGTGGTGTCTAGGACAGTGCCTGCTATTGTGTAAGTGTGAGTTCTTGTGTGAATGGTGTATTATTCACACTGCACCTTCTCGGGGTTGGAACCCACCAGCCCTTTCTCGCCACGTTGAAGCATCATTCACCATATTCTGTTTTTCCTCAAAGTGCGTCAGTATTTTCAGTGGGCTTCCAAGGGCTTCATTTGAGCCCTGGGCCCCATACCCGCTTGACTCCTTAAACATCTTGCATTTTCTTCTGTTTTAGTCATTTCCCCCAGCATTGCTTCCTTACCCACAGCAACAGCTCTCCTCAACCATCACCCTTCCCAGCTGCTGTACGTAGCAGCTTCCCGGCTTCCATTCCCCTGACCAGGAAGCTTCTAAATAAAACAAAACCCCTTGGGCTCCTTGCCTTCCCCCTTTCCCCTTACTCAAGCCCCGACTGTGGGCTCTGTAAGGGTTTATTTCCCTGAAGCTGCTGTCTTGTGGTCCCGTGGCTGCTCACGTCCTTCCTCAGAGCCGTCTCTCCTTGGCTGGCACCGCCCCTCCTCCCCACCATGCCCCTCTTCTTCCCTCCTCTTCCCCTACCTGGCGTCCATTACACTCTCCTAATCTGACCCCGGATTACCAGCCTGCTCCCAATCTCTAGCTCCTCCTCATCCCCAGGCCCCGTCCAGTCCCCAGCGGGCTGTCCTGGGACCCCCTCTCCTGCCCCCTCCATCCTTAGTGGTCTCTTTGCTGTGCTCTCAGCTCCTCAAATCCTCCCGCCCTAACTCAGACGCTCTGGGAGCTCCAGCCTCGGGCTCTGGCTCTGGGCGGGACTCTTCCCCTGCCGCCTTATTGGGCCGTCAAATTCAAGAAGTCCAAGCACCAGATTAACATTTTCTCCTTGCCCCAAAATTAGCTCCTCCTTCTGGTTTCTTTTTGTGACGGTGGCTCTGTCCTCCCAGGCACCGCAAGGGACATCTGGGCCGTGAGGCCTCCTGCCCGCCCACACGCCCCCACCCCAGACGAGCCCTGCCCCCTCCTGCACATTGCGTTTCTGTTCTTCCTGTTACACATCATTACCTAAAAATAATTATAAAGTTAATTTTTGTTCTCATGGCGAATTCTCATGCTCGTGATAGACAATTTGGAAAATAGAGATAAAGACAAAGAAGACAATAGAAAGTACCCACGATTTCACCAACCAGAGAGACAGAATCACTGTCTGTCTTCCAATTAGGAAGATGGCCTTTCCTCTTTTAAAAAACTTATGCTGAATATAAAAAAATTTTTAATTCTTTCAAATTAAAACCATCTATGCAAAGTGTTTTGTGACCTGATTTTGAAACCTATGTTTCATGAACATTTCCATCTAGTTAGATATTTTACTATACCTATACATTTTATTTTAAAAATGTAAGCAATTTATGCATTGGATAAAAACTTTAAAACATGTCATAGGTAGGAAATGAACTTGTAAGGGAAGATTTGTGCTACCAGAAATCAAGAACTATTTTAATGCTATAGTTAAGACTGTGTCTTAGTATAGGAATAAACAAATACATAAAGAGAAGTGCATATGTGGAAATCTAATTCATGACAAGAATGGGCACTGCAGATTTGTTGGGATAGATTGGGCTATTCAATAAATAGTGTGGGGACAATTGGTTTTCAATATAGAAAATAAAATAAAACTGTGCCCATACATCACATTATTCACAAAACTCAATTCCGTGTATACTCAATACTCTAACTTAAAAGGCAAAATTGTATAACTTTTAGAAGATAACAGAGATTATCTTTATGATCTCAGGCAAGGAAGGGTTTCTAAACAAGACACAAAAACATAAGCAATAGAGGAGAGACCTGGTAGATCAGACTACATTAAAATTAAGAACTTCTGTTCATCAAGTGAATCATAAGGAGAGTGAAAAAAGTCAAAGTCACAAATTGGAAGAAAATATCAGTCACATATGAAACCAGCAAAGGCCAAATGCAGCTAGTTATATATGAAGACCTTCTACAAATCAATAAGAAAAAGATAACGAAAAGAGCAATGGACAAAAGACATGAAATTTTGCTCATTGTTCAACATATATTTATTGAAGCTTACTGTATATTGTGCAGTGTTTTTACATCCTGGGGTATATTGACAAATAAGCTAATAAACCTGTCTGTCCTCATGGAGCTTGCTTTCCAGCACGGCAGCACAGACAATAAACAATAGACATAAGAAATAAGTAAAGTGTAAAGTATACTAGAAGGTTAAAGTGCATAGCAAAAACAAAAATAGAGGCATAGAAGCCAGTAGAGAAAGCGAGAGAGAAGGTGGTTTGCAGTATTAAATAAGGGCATCAGCACAGGCCTTGTTGAGAAGGTGAGATGTGTGCAAAGACTGGAAGGAAGGGAGGGAGTGACCCAGGGATATCTGGGAGAACAGCATTCCAGGCAGAGGGAACAGCCAGAGCAAAGGCTTTAACATGCCTGGTGAGTTTGAAGAACAGCAAGAAGGCCAATGTGGTTGCAAAAGAATGATGGAGGGGAAGAATGGAGGAGAGGAGGCTGGGGAGAACATGAGCCAGCACAACATGGTCTTCTAGGCTATTATAAGAATTTCATTGTGACTCAGAGAAAAATAGGAAGCCATTGCTGCAAACATGAGCCTGGCTGGTGATGCATGCCATGTGGAGAGCCTGAGAGAAAGGCCCCACCCTTTCATTCTGACTGTAGCTTCCCTCCCAGTGTTTGGTTACTATACTGCTCCCCAGGGTGAGTCCTAAGTCCCAGAATGCTGAAATAATATA